CATTTTACTATCAATAGCCAAAAATAAAGGTTGCCTTTCGTCACGTGCCCCGAGTAGCTATTTGATAGCTGGTATTGGGGAGGAGAAGAAAAAGAAGGGGAAAAAAGGTTCTACAGATTGAATGCAAGTCTTAGAGATGTAAATTGCAAGCATTTTTCCAAGCAATATTGTAAAATACAAAGAATGAGGGGGAATAATTTAACTTGCTTCCATTGTGCAACAAACTTTTGAATTCTTTGTGAATGAGTTGGCACAAATCTTACAGACTGGTGTACTGGTTAGAATCAGACAGCAATCCAGACTGGTTCAGATAAACTAGGCTTTTAGAGTTCTGAGGGGGACAGAACAAGAACTTCTGCGAGTTTACTGCATGAACAGTTAGAGTTTTGCAAACAAGAATCTCTGATTTTTATATAGAAATTTTAATTTTTTGAAATTAAAAAACTGGGGGATTTCATCACAGCACATTTCTCTCTGTTGTGAGAGAAACATCCCTCAGCTGTTCCTTGATTAGTTTTCAACAGTTAGTCCTATGACTTAAAGAAACTTTGGGTAGCTGAACGTGAATGGAAATGAGGGATTGAAGATTAGCAATATGAATTTCTGAACAAGAGTTTTGCCTCCTTCCAGTTGAGTAGGAGGTGGTGTAAGGGCTGAGGATTTGTGCTGTGCCTTGTATTCGGAGTGATGAGCTGCTCTACTCAGTGCCAGACTGAGGGGGCTTCACCAGATGCCGACCTGATCTCCTCCAGAGGTCTCCTTTCTGCTGCAGGACGTGGGGAATAGCCAGCACAGCACAACTTCTCCCAGGGCTGTTGCTCAGATTAGTTTGTAGGGTTTGTTTTGCAAAATGAATTTTAACACTGTGCTTTTGTTCCCTCTAGAAAGACAACAAAGTTGCTGCGTAGTCTACAAGAAAGCTACTAACCAGGTGAACGTCTAGATCTTCTTGAATCAGAGAATTAGTTTTGATCTCTGCAAAGAATGAAGTTAATTTGCTGTATACTTGTCACCAGCACTGGGATTTAACTATTTAATTTCAAAGGGGTGTAATGCAGTTACTTTTGAGAAATGGCCATCTTTGAAAACAGTAAGCATTAAATATATTTGAGACAGAAGGATAAGTAATTTCTTATGTATAGTTAATTATAAGCAGTACTTCGATGGAGTTTTAAGTATTTTTTCATCACTGAAAGGATTTTTCTTATTACTAAACTGTATTTGATAATTGCTTCAAGTTGTAAGGACAATGGTATGCAGAAGGCCGTCGATACTGTGAGTGTTTTGACCCACCGAAGGTTGTTTTTTGGAAATCCTGTAAAATCCCTTTTGAGGTAGTTGTTCTTGTATCAACTAGGGTGCTGGACAGTAGAAAACTTGCTTTGTCAGTCAGATATGTACACACAGTAAATACTGTTTCTTAGGCAAAGGAAAGTTTTTATATAGTTGTAAAATTCCATTATATCCCATTGCCAAAGAAACATTACAAACTTTGTATAGCTGTATAAAAAGCAACTAATTTTTTAAAGAATAAACATTTTTAAGTCGGTAAACATACTGTTATTGCAGAAAGTTGATATGCTGAAGAACACTGAATTAGTTGGGTTTCTTTTTCTTTAGCAGCTTTTCAAGCTTAAATGTTTGATTTTATATTTGGACTGTAATGAAGTTTTGAAAATGTTCTTCCATTACACAAAACTGGATACACGCTTCACTGCTCTTGCAAGAATTTGATTTTGTAGTTTCTGGCATATCACAGGATTTGACCAAGTTAAGGAGGTATTTTCAAAAAAAGGAGAAAAGGAATTTTCATATGTCAAGATTTGCAATTGATTTTACTTAGTGAGAAATATTAACTTTTTTTAATAATGGACCAGGCACACGAGTTGGTGATTCTCCTGGAATGCCTGGGATAAAAGTCTGTCTCCATTTGTCAATTCTTGAAACGTTAACTTTGTTGTAATACCTGTAGACATGAGCAATTTAAAGAATTCTTAGTGTTTGAAGTTGTTTGCATTTTGATAGACCGTAGCTTGGAGACATTGAGACTCTGGTTCTAAGACCACGAAGTCACAAATGACAGTACGGACTTTTTGCCAATTCTGGATAACTAGTTGCAACTTTCTGATACGCTGAAATAGAAACCTGGTCATTTGTGTCTGTGTATGTATATGAAGGCCACAGGAATAAAGGGATCCAAAGATTACATCACTTTGATCTAATTTGCTGATTTATTTTTTTTTACTTCAGAATGTTCAGTGGTGATAAAGACGTGAAAAACTGCACTGTTGAAAAATTGGAATATTTAAAAGTGGTTGATAGAATCTTAATTTTATAACTTTTGTATAGCACTACAAGGAAGTATTTTGTAATTGGTTTCCTTATTAAGGTCAAGTATTTGACAGCTGTAGAAGTTAGATAATATTGTTTAGTAATGTTTTTGCATGTTTAACAACTGCCTTTTGGGATCCACAAGTCACGATTCTGAACACCTGTTGAGATTTTTGACCGTAGAGGCAAGTGCTGTCCTGTTGCAATAACTCTTTACTGTCTGAGGTGTTCCAGCTGTAAATACCCGGGCCGGGAGCCGCGGGCAGGGGTAAACCCTGCGTAGCCCCTCCCCGCCCGCCCAGGCTTTCTGTTTTTTTTTTTTTTATTTTTATTTTAAACCAGAATAAACTGTTCAGTAAAAGCGGCACGGCGGCGCTCGTTTGTTGCGCGCGGGGCGGGCTGGGCTGGGCCGGGCTCGGGCCGTTCCTGGCGGCAGCGGCGCGTGCGCGCGGCCAGGGGCGGGGCGCCGCGCCCCCTCAGCCGGGAGCCGCCATGTCCGTGGCGTTCGTGCCCGAGCGGGTGCGCGGGACGGCGGAGGTGAACCAGGACACGCTGCAGCGGGTGAGCGAAACTGGGCTGGGACGGAGCCGGGACTGGGCCGAGACTGAGCCGGACGGTGACGCAGGCCCTTGGGGCAGAGCTGGCCGGGGCGGGGCGGAGGCCGGGGCGGGCGGTGACGGTGCTCTGTGCCGTAGCTGCTGGAGGAGAACGACCAGCTGATCCGGTGCATCGTGGAGTACCAGAACAAGGGCCGCGCCACCGACTGCGTGCAGTAAGTGACCGACGTGGGCGGGCAGGGCGGAGCGCTGGGGGCCCAGGTGTCGCTAACGGGAGTGAAACGCGGCTCGCGCTCCTAGAGCTTTCCTGCCGCTACGAGGAAAATGCGTCTGGGCTTACGAAGGGGTTTCCCCAGAATAATTGTTAGAGATGTATATTGGTCGGGGTGTTTGCTCAGTGTTCCCTTGACGCCCGCTCTGCCCTCCCTGCCCGAGCGTGGCGCACCGAGCGGTGTCGCAAGCAGACGGCGGCTCTGCCGCCCCAGCACCCGCGGGGAGCGCTGCAGCTGCTCCGACCAGCCCGGCAGGCAGCTCTGGCCTCCCCCGCTCCGCTGCCGTTCTGCGGCTTTCAGGGCTGCGAGCTTGATGTCCTGCTTCCCATCGAAGTTGGGTAGTAGCACATGCTCGGCTACCGAGTGCAGCTCAGTACGTCGTACCGGGCTTCAGCATAAGAACACTAAGTTTCCCCTGATTTATTATTCTAGTTTTCTTTCTTTTTCCCTTACTGCAAATACTGATCAGCGTACATGAGTGCAAGTATGGGTAGTTGTCTAGAAAAGAACGTCTCCCAGATCCTGTGTTTCCTCCTCTCATAGGTACCAGCATATCCTGCACAGGAACCTCATTTATTTAGCTACAATTGCTGATGCCACTCCGCCCAGGATGCAGAAGCCTGTAGACTGACGGCAATACCTGGATGTGAGCACTGCTGCTTTCAGAGGCTGTAGAAATAGTTTATAGAGTCGCACTTTGAAAACCAAGAAGGTGTGGGTTTGAAAAAAGCAGGTAAAAAGTAATCTGTACGTCTGTGTTTAAAATGTGAATGTAGTTTTCAGTGTAGTATTAGGCCAGCTTTTCCTGTTACTGTAACTAACACAGCTTAAGAATTATAATTATCACATTCCGTTTTCCCTCTGAAAAACTCAATTCAGTGTACTTCTGGGAATAGCCTGGCTCTCAAGACAGCACTATAGGAAGCAGAGCCCATTTCATGAGTATGGCTCTATAATAACAAGGTAAATGTTACTCTAAGTGAATCCTACCTCCAACATAACAAAGTTGGGCATGTGTTCCATCTATAAAAGCAGTTGACTCTTGTATCCTGTATCAGAACAACTGTGCTAAATAAACTAAAGGTGTTCTTTGCAAGTTGTAGTATATTCTGAATTAATATAATACATTAACAAAAGAGCTGCTCCGTGCTTTAGTCAAACAGAAACGTTAACTTTCCTAGGACTGGTGGGATTGCCACACTACTCAGCAATTATGTGTAAGGGAGAAACCCCAAACTATTATTTTAGAAGCTTTTGCCCAAGTTTATTAAGGCTTTTTCTCTGTGCTTGAAATGCTCTGTAAACAAGTCAATTTCTGCATAATCAAAATGGGTTCAGGTGCTTCCTGGGTACTGTCAGCACTGCTGGCCAGCTGCATGCATGTGTGCTCCTATCCAGTAAGGAAGAAAGCAGCTTTGCACACCCTGCACACGGCATTCCAATACCACAATTAACACATACTAACCTAATAGCCTTGATCACAGCAGGGAGGGGGACAGAGTTTACTTTTTACTTACTACCATCAAAGTTATTGACTCTGATTCCTAAAAATTCAAGTAATGTGATTCTGGCAATGTTTACCTGCACTACTGCTTCAAAGACCCTGTTGAGGCATCGTCTGTACCACATTCTTCTGTGACATCACTTGAGAAAGCAGCTTTAAAGATTGGACTGTGCATAAAGTTCATTTTTATATGATAGAGTCAGTAAGTAGGCAGTTGACAATTTTCAAACTGTTAAATAATCCCATGTTAATGTAATAAGATCTTTGTTTACAAACCGAAGTTACAGTTTAAGGTGCTGCTCATTTTCAGCAAGGTGCATATTTTAAACAGGTATGACCTATTAAATGTATATCTTTAATAAAGCAAATAGTTTACTTTTACAGAAGCTTTAAAATACAAACTGTACAGTTCCAGTTCAGAAGCGTTAGCTATTCACAAGAAGCACTGCAATAAGGGTAAGTTAACTAAGCACCAAACCCTTGCACTTGGCAGTGTAAGTGAAGTTTAAGGGCAAGACTCATTTGCCAAGTGCAACAATTCTTAAAATTACCAGTGTTCAGAACAATCAGAAGCAAAGGACAGAGTAGCACCCACGTGGTCAAAATGCAGACAAACTTTCTTTGTGTTCACGATTCACTTATGTAGGTCCAGAAACTTGCCAGCATTTGTAATTATGAATAAACTGCAAAAACTATAGCAATCATTTTGGCACTTGTTAGAAAAAAAGTTCAAAATTAAGTTTTCATTAACTTCCATTTTGGTCTTAGTATGAATAACCAAGTAAGTACAACCAAATTTGGGGTTTAATATTAGATCTAAACAACAAGATTTAGGAAACTCGAAACCATTCATGAAGTTAAATAACCACTAACATTTTCAGTGGAAGGTTTTCAAAATTATAGTAGTACAGACCATTAACAATTTACAGACAGAAGCCACACTGATTGTGCAAAGCACATTACTGTAAAAAGTCTATGTACAGCAAACAAATCTTTGTAAACATGGTAAGTATGAAGTTTCAGAAAACATGGTGACAATATCATAAATACAGGCAACATTGGCATCCTCAAACAGCACAAAAGGTAACAATCTGGGCCTGCAAATAGAGCCCGTCACCATACAAACAAAAAAGGTGGATGGGTTTTAAATACCCAAATGTTTAATAGTTTTAGTGTTGTGTATACTTTTTATTTATATATATATATATATATATAATGTATTTGTTTTTTGGTATCTTTAGATATAGATGTACTTAGTTTGTAAAACCAAAACCAAAAAATGTGCTTTATCTTCATTGAAAAAATTATGTAGTTAGAACTAATAACCCATTTTACTAGTAGTTAACATATTAGAATGATATGACTTAAGAAAAATACAAAAATAAGATTAATACTGTCAAAACTCTTATACCAGAAAATATTGTGGTTTTTAGACTCTTTCAAAGATGAAATATGAAAATTTAAATAAGCTCTAACTATATAAAGAATCTTCTGTAATCTCAATTCATATACAGTGGGATAGGTATACATATATTTACCATTGTTCTTGAATTTGTAAGCACCAGTCACTCGCCCCCATCCACTTTGGTTGGAAGATTATTCCTAATTCCACAGGTTCACTTAATGGCACATATTGACTGCAAATAATTACTTTATCCTTTTAAAAAAAATAATGTTCTTTTAACTAACTGCTACCCCACATTTCAGTTTTAGTATCTTTTGAGCCAGCTCACAATTTTCAGTCAACCATAGCATCTGAAATAAGACTTTAAATAAATGCAAGTAGTCTCTTAGGCTTTGCTTTCGCACACTGCGGGAGCACCGTGTGGATAATGCCTTTGGCCAAATGCAGCCACAGGACATGGTTTGTGTGAGAACCAGGGTCCCACTGTCCACACAGGTGCCATCTATGTCAAGCAGCTCAAGTAATGTTGACGACACAAGGCTGAGTGGTTCTGCTGATCTTCACCTACAGTAAAGAAACTGCCACAAAACTCAGTTTTGCAACTGTTTCTGCAGCAGTTCCCAAATGAACTCACTTGTGTAGCACAGGAAAAGCTGCTGTTGCACTTCATTTTAAAAAAGCTGCCCACAGGCTGTAATGGAGAATACAAAGGTTCTACAGCTTGTCCTTTATAAATTTAAACACAAACAGTGTTGAGCAAAGTGACCACTATATATTTGCTTCAACATATTCAATGTGTTTCAGTAAGATGTTTTAACTATAAATCTATATGAAAAATAGCTATAAAATACAGTGTTTCTTGTATGGTAGTCCTTCAGCAGTTGTTTTTAGAAAAAAAAATGTCTTGAAAGTAAAGGCAATTACACATTTTTAAAAGCATTTCTGCATCACAGTTTTGGGCTGTTTCACGTACACCAAACATATTGGCCATATTTGCTCAGCACTGTAACTCAGAATCCAAGAGTTTGTCTATCTCACCCAAACCCCCTCAATCCCACACCAAGAGAGAAACAGGATATAGCCAACACAGCACTGTGAATCAAAGTAATGTAATTTTCATTTGGCCCTGTGCTGCATTTTCCAGTACGAAAAGCAGTTAGTACTGGTGCAGGTACGATGGTCTGCGTTCGTGCTTTACTGGGAAAGATTTAAAGCCCTTGTTCATCTGTTTGTGCTGGGAAGCCTGTTGGGATTGCTGCTGCTGCTGCGCGTAGGCGAAGCTGGAGGAGATGCCGGCTGCCGGGGCGCAGTCGCTGGCCCACATGGGCGACTGGAGCATCTGCATGGTGTCACTCCACTGGCTCACGGGGCTGCTCATGGGGTACAGGGACGTGCTCTGGCTGGGCAGCGTGCTCGGCACAGAGGATGTGTGCTGCCACGGGGCCTTGGGAGGCCAGGTTTTGGTCTTGTTATCCTGAGAAAACAAAATCAGTTGGAGGTACTTTGGTTTAACAACAGAACGCTGCTTTTTTAAGACAATGCTTAACATGTCACCTTATCACTTCCTTGAGATATTTTCACAAGATTAGTTTATATTTGAAAGCCAAACTGATGCATACATCTAGCACTCTCAATTCTTAAAATATCTGCCTGTTAAAAAACATTTACTTTAGCTTGACACACAGTGGCCTCACTGAAAGGGAAAAAGGTAAATGACTTCCAATTTCAATATATTAAGCTTAGTGACTGACAAAAGCACCTCCTGCTACTTGAGTGCAGATGGTTTAGGTTTTCACTGAAGTATGCAGTCTGGAGATACAGATGCTTTTCCAGTTGACTGCCTCATGCAGACCCACCCCCAGATGCCAGCAGGAGAAGGGACTAAGCAAAGCCACGCTGAGCTCACCTGACTGCGGTCATCTGCTGCAGAGAGAAGTGGAGGCGATGGCAGCGTGCTGGGTTCCTGTTCACCACTGCTGTGTTTTCTGCTCAGAAAAAGAGAGACTTTTACTTTTTGGTTTTAAATGAGTCACCCTCATTAATTTGTCACTGGCACAGATCAGTTTTCAGTGGATGTGTTTTCAGAAACATTTGGTTTCATGTACTTTTTGTTCAGTACAGGTAAAAGCAACAATACAGAAACTGTCAGGGACATGACAATGCAGTAGTTCTTGGAGCTACAGTTACAACATTTTTGTAGAGGTGAAAGGAAGCTGAGATAGACTTTTGCCCACTTTCAAGAAATCTGCTAGAAATTGTGTTTTTTCTTCTGTTACCTGCTCTTGTGGCTAGGTTTCTTTTGGTTTTTTTAAGTATCTTTTCTGAAATAACCTTACAGATAAGACAAAAGACCTGTTGAGGAAGTGAAACATCTGCTGAAGCACAGTAATTTTAATGACAAAAAATGTTCTACCTTTAGTTTAATTTGTGACCTGACACCTAGTTATTAAATATAAGCCCTTGACCACATGTGCACTCTGGAAGACTTTTTTTTTCCTTGGGTTTTTTGGTCTTTTTTGTTTGGTTGGTTTGCCTTTTTTATTTGTTTGTTTTGGGGTTTTTGTTTTGGTTTTTCGTTTTGGTTGGTTGGTAGGTTTTTTTAGGAGGAGCGATTAAGGGCATGGGTTTAGATTAAAGCAGAGTCTTTTATTTCATCCTTTTTGTAAAAAACCCCAGTCAGCATGCTCCAATCAGGCTCCCATAGGTAAGCAGCCCTTTGCAGGTCACCTTTAGCACACTCAACCCTTCCACATCCTCCTACAGCCCAGCTTTAGCTCTGGTATGTTGTCAGGCCCTGACCTACAAAACACTTCTTCTTCAAGTAACAGGAGACAGTAGTACTGTTGCTTCAGCTGAGGTTTTGGTCAATTAAGCACTCTCTTTGGAAACTTTCTTCTGCTCTTTAGAGCACTACATAAACCACAGGCTTTTCTTGCTCCATGATCAGTCTCCAGCTATCTACTGGCTTGGCATGTTGAGTCACCCTTATGAGTTTGTTTTCCTTCCCTGCTGCTTTTTTTTTTTTTTAAATACAAGTAATTACTACTTTTTCTGTGACTGTTTATGAGATGGCTCTTTGCCATAAATTTCAGTTTAATATTCATTGAAGCTCAATTTTTGTTCCCTCCCTATGAAGTACTGGCTAAGTGTAAAGATTCAGAAAGTAGTTACTCTTACTCCTTTCTGATAATGCACACAAAAATAGCTATCCAGGTAGAATCTGTGAGAAACTGACACTGACTGCTTTTTAATTCACTAAAAAGACAGACAATCTTGTATCTATGTATTGACTCCAAATTACTCTGTGACTGTAAACAAATATTTGGCCACTTATTTCAATTTTAGAAAAGATTGAAAAATAGTTTGAGAGAACAATTCCAGATTGGAATTGGGTTGGTATTCATGCTTCATGTTGTGCCTTTTGTTACTATTGTTCTGACTATCCTCTGCTGTGCAATCACTGAGGTTCCAAAGACACCGAGCCTCCAGCCCTTTAGAAAAGCAGAACTGCTGTAATTCACACTACTGATAGAAGTGGACTGTTTGTAGCTGAAAATCCTGGCTTAGTTTTCCATTACTGAAATTATTTACAAAGACAGTTTGGCCTCCTCTTCCTACTGTGAGAAACAGAGGACTAAGCAGAGTGTATTTCCCACTCCCAGAACAGCAGCAGCCAAGGTGAGAAGTGCACACCAGGTTAGCAGCAGCTTCTCCCCAGTGCCACGGGCTGCAGCTGAGGCCAGCAAAGGCACCCAAAGGCACGGCCCAGCTGCAGCCAGGCGCTCTGCATAACCAGCAAGGATCTCGTAAAGCCCCAGGAAATGGCATCCAAAGGAGACTCATGGAAGAGAGAAAGCATCAGATCTTTCCTAGACACAGTGACCCTCAGTGAACAGCTGGCTGTTGCACTGTGCTGGCTTGTGCAAGGAGAAAGCTGCTAACACAACTCACTTGAGGAATCCCCCGGTCCACATCACCAGTGTAGTACACAAACTCATGTTTCTGGAGACCTGTCTCATTGGCAGGAATTCCCTTTGTCTAGCTACACAAATGAAATGACATATAAACAAAAGGAATATTACAAAGTGGTCTACTTCTGTTCATTTTGCTCACCTCCTCTGCTTTACAGCAGCAACAAGGTCTGGCCCTGAGAACATGGAGAACAAACTGTCTCCGTTAGCTGAGGAGGTCTCATCACTTGAGCTGGCAGAGTCTCCTTGAGTACCAGACCAGCTGTTTGTCACATCACTGCAAGACAGAAAGTTGTATTAGTCCTTGTACTTACAGTGCCTGGTCCAGACTGTGTGCCACAGTTGTGCTGGATCTTTGTCACAGGTGATACCTCAGAGCACATCATTTCAGCTGGTAAAATGTGCCAGTAATACAGGTACTTTCACTAGTTCTGAGTGGTCACATTAACTGCTCTGTCTGTTACAGCCTGTTTATATATATTTAACTACAATAATTATACCAATTAGAAGCACCTTTCCTGTTCAGGAAGGAGAAACAAGTGATGCTTGGGTTTGGAATCACTAAGTACTTGACTTTTTCACTGCAAAACTGAGCTAGAACACATATCCATCCTACTGGTTTTACACTAGAGACTCACTGCTCTTACATTATGGACAAATGGACAGAGAATCTTGAAACACTTCTTGTGTAGTAAATAATTACGATTTGGAAGATATTAAAAACTACAAATGTACCTGCTGTGAGGTACCTGCCTTTTAGTAGCAGGATTAAGTGGCTAAAATCTGGAAAACCGAATTCAGTCAAGCACCGCAACTTTGAAAGCATCACTTTTCATCAAAACTGTTTAAAGCTGTTTTCAAAATACTCAGACAAAACTCTCCTGAATACATATGGGCTATAGATTCCTTATTTCCTCTGTTGGAGTCACAGTCAGTATCCATGCCACTCTGAGGATGACACCAAGCATGTCAGTCCTTGGGATCAGCAAAGCAGGCAAGGTCACATTGCGCACTCTTAACAGTGAAGTGCAGCTTTCACAGATGCAGCAGCAACTGAAAAAACACTCAGTATTCCCACACTGTGCCAAGTCTGGGTGCTAAATGAAGTTCTACAATAAAAACATCCAGCCTGTCCAGTCTCTTACCCCTCTGTGAAATACTCTGGAAAGGGCCAGGTTTTATGAGGATCATCAGGAAGAGGCCAGTTGCCACGCGTGGTGCTTGGACGACGGACGTGCTGTGCTTGCCTCTTCTGTTGCATAGCCTGGTTCACCCCAGCAACATAGCGAGCAAACTCTGGATCAGAGCCAACTGAATGAAAGAAACCAACAAGTCCATTGCTGCACTTTCAGTGCTTTAGGTGTGACCATACCCCACAACACAGTAATTCCCTCCCTGATGATAAATGGCAGCCAGCAGTGGATAGGTCTTCATGGAGCAGTGAAGAACACTGAACAGGAAATGTTTTACAAAGATGAGATACACAGCATCCACAGTAGATAATAATTATCACATGGAAGTACACCTGCCCCTTGCATTCCATCAGGGAAACTGTGTTTGTACTACAATCATGGCTATGCTGAAAGGTCCAACATCAGCAGACACTGATGAAATGGACACTGTACATTTATCCACACGTGAAAAAGAGCAGAACAGTTACTGTAGTTGATACCAGAGTGCAACATGGTTTCCAGCTACGTTGTGATCCTGCCTGGATCACACTAGAACACAGAGGGCCAAAACTGCCTCCTTCCTATAGTGATGAGACAATTCTGAAAACATTCTGATTCTGACTACAAAATATTTCAGAATAAGAATTATATTTACAGAAAAAATCAGTAATTTAAAAATTCTTCCATTCTCAACATGCTTTTTGTGTCCCAAGCATCCAATAAGGAATAAGCATGGTCTTGAGCAGACACAGCAAAAGCCTTAATCCAGAAGTGTTTCAAATGCTCCATTGATCAGAGCAAGCAATTGCTGTATTCAAAAGACTGCTGATAATGAGTCACTAACTGTTTCCACAGCTTCTCTTTCTTTTGCCTTTTTTTCCTCATTGAGAAAAAACTTGGCAATCTGACTGGATTTATGGAAAATGTCTAGACTACATGCACAGTAATTGCAGTGGGAAGTACTGAGCTGCTGGCTTGCCAGTGTCAGCTGGAGATTGAGTGAAGACTGAAGAACATCCAACAATAATGCACAGCTCACAAAGCAGAAATCTCTTCCATCTGACAGCTCCCTGCATTCAGTACTGCATTTGGAAGATATGTTTCCTTGTTCTCATTAGACACATCCAGAACAGAAATCTCTTCCATCTGACAGCTCCCTGCATTCAGTACTGCATTTGGAAGATGTTTCCTTGTTCTCATTAGACATATCCAGACAAGACCTTCACAGTGTTTTGCTGAATGCAAATTAAAAAGACAGTGAAGAAAACTGTTTCTCTGGCTCCTTTATTAAGCGAGGGCTATCTGAGAGCTATCCAGGAACAAAACATCCCCACTTATGCTTGTTCTCCCTCTGAAATATCTTCACATCTATTTAAGATGAGGCTGGAAGACAGTTCCTCACATCTAAGAATAGATTCTGAAGGACATCCAGGCTTTTTACTTGTGGACAGCATAAAGTTCTAAAGTGCTGGTAATATTCAGAATAGAAGCTTGTGTTAATTTTTACCTCACTGAAAACATCAGGTGAACAGGTTTTTATCAGATAGTTTTTTACTCCAAAGGACTGGAGTTACCAACATTCCTTCTATTAGTTCTTATTGCAACATTCCTTCATCAGGTTAGTGATGACTGAAGTGCTACAAAATACATTTCTGGGACTAGTTAGGCCTTCAACATGAAAAGCCATACTTTTCAATTTTCTAAATTCTTCATCAGCAGTTTTGCATCTGAAGAGAGACATCATTTTCAGACTCTAAAAGTACTTATCAAAAAAGCAATGTGGTTTGTTTCAAATGACAAATGTACAGTCCTAGGAAACCCCGGAAATGAAAAACACTTCTCTGGTTTACAGCTTTTTGTATGACACTAAAGCTTAAAATGCAGATTTCTACACCACAGCTCAACCTGGCAAGTTCTATGAAGAAAAGCTCTTTCTAGAGGAAAAGTATTTAGTTGGAAGGATTTTTGTTTGGTTTTGGCTTTTTGAACGCCAGATCTGTGAAAAATACTGTTTACTTATCACTACAAGTGCAGAAGTGTGTATCTTAATCCACTGAGCACCATTTATGGACCTTGAGTAAGTCACCTTTTCCAAGTACCACTTTCTACATCCTTGACATTCATCAAATGGAACAAAACAAGTAGTTTTTTGAACAGCAAAAGGAAAATACTACAGAAATAGAATGGATTCAAAATGCTGAGAATGTCAGTCCTTTGCATACCTGCTTTCTTTTCCCCGCACACACATGGACTTAGTGCTTGCTGAGAGTAATTTTGTCCTTCCTTAGAGGCTGTGATAATCCTTAAGTCTATACCCTAAGTATGTTTAACTAAGATGATGCTAATTCAGACTTATTAAGACAGTTATTAAGCAACAGCGTAACTATGGTGGCTATTTTTGCCATAGAAACTCCACTAATTAATCAACTAAGTTGACAAAAGAACTATCATAATTATGAGTCAAAGGAGCTGGTTTGAGACGCCTACACATTCCAAACACAGACAGTGCAAATGAGCACGGGAAACTGAGCCCTCTTTGATAGAAGGTTTCCCTGTTCTCTGCTCCTCCCTCCAGGCAGTTGCCATAAATGCACACTACAACATTCCTGCAGCTGTGCTCCAGGCCAACAGAAGTTACATTTACAAGGTAGCAGCTGTGTAAGTTGTTCTTAATACTACCATTAGAATCACACAATCACAGAATATTCTGAGTTGGAAGAGACCCACAAGGATCATCAAGTCCAGCTCTCAAGCCAATGATCCACATGGGAATTCATCTCCTCTTAAATTCCACAGTCAATTTCTTGGTCTGTAGATACTTGTTGATGACTCTAACATTTTATCTCAATTCATCTATATTTACAATCTATTGGTGGTCCAAACATATGTGGCAAATCTCATGGCACTTGCTCTTTAGTCTCTAATCCTTTGACATCCAAACTTTTAATTGCAGAACCAGCTGTGGAACAGGAACCAGTATGACTCCCAGGGAATTGAGGAGCATAGGAGGGAAAATGTGGGGATATGGGGAAGATGCAACCCAGCTGTATCTCCAGGTTACAAGACTGCTGAAGAGCAGGAAGAATAATTTTGAGGAGAGGGAACACACCTGATCTCAAGAGTTTGATTTTGAACAATTATACAAACTAAGTATAGGAGGAACATCATTTGTAAGTATCTTTTCAGTACTCTGCTGAGCTCCATCAAGGAAAGGTCAGACTACTACAACTGAGACAAGAAACAAGGAATTGGTTCCCGTGCTTGCTTATTAATGAGAGTTTTAAGATCACCTTCCGCTACAAAAGCAAATAAGCACACACACAAATCCCTGCTTGCACTGGTCAGCACCCTTACATCCGGTGGACAGCACGGGGAAATGACACTTATTGCCAGCCATATTTCACAGTATTCTTTTAAAAAGGACCCTTAAAAAAAAGCATAATAAAGGAAAAGACACACACCTGCAGGGTCAAAAGGCAGGATTTCTCCCAACATCCCAAACACTCCATCAGTTTGGTCACGATTTGGCCATGTGTTGTTTCTAGGTCCTTGTGGTTTCTGTCCTAACATCTCTGCCATCACATTGTCCATATAGCTGCTCACAAGACCCAAGCTGTACAAATCAGAGCTCAAATCTGAAAAACCAGGATTGTTCCACTGATTTATATGAGACAATCCAGCTCCAACAGCCGGAGCTTGCTGCTGTGAAGAATTACTGAGCCATTTGGCAGGTACACGTTGCTGTGGTCCAATAGGTTGAAGCAAGTGTTGGTAATACTGCATTTGCTGCTGCTGCTTTTGGGACTGCTGCTGGGACAAGCCTTGCTGAGGAGGATGCAGTGGGGTGTGAGACACAGACTGCGGCTGCTGTTGAACTGCTCCTGACTTTTGTTCTGCTGCTGTAGAGGATGCAACAGAGTTCCTTCTTTTCACCATCGGAGAAGTCTGCTGGGATTTGCCCATGTTAAAACCAGACAAGAAATCTATAACATCCTGCATTTCTTGGTCAGTTGGTAAATTCATACCTTTGTCATCCTTGCCATCATCTGGTTTGAAGAAGCTGTCCCTTCTTTCCACTAGAAAGCCATTGACGAGCTGGTTGGTTGTGCTCTGCACTGGCTGCAGGGCATCTGCGCTCCGAGGGAAGTTACCAATGTTCAGGATGTTCTGCAACCGTGCATCCATGTTAGTGGGCATTTTAGCTTTCTCCTCTGAGCTGGAACTTATGAAGACATTTTTGGAAGGTGTATTGGGGATTGAGTAACTTCCTGTGTTACCTGTACTAGTGCAGGAAGTTTTTTTTGTAAACCGTGAAGTCAGTTTTGAGAATGTCTTTTGCAGACCCCCTGAAGATTTGCTTCCATTCCCCGATGGCATGTCAACTTGGCTCCCAAATTCTGAGATTTCACGCTGTAACTGGATCTGAATACAAGGCAAAGCTTGCTCCCTGCATCAGCAAAAAAACATGTATATCAAACCACCTAATACATAACTGAGTTTGTACTTCAAGGGAAAAACGTGTATTTCAATAATAGCTCAAGAAAGAAACAACACCAAAGACTGCCAAGTCCACCAGCTACTTCTTATAAATAAAGCAAATGACTCCTCATATTTGCAATACTTTCCACTTCTTAAATTTTAGTTGTGCTTCAAGACCTAAATGGAGACCAATTTAATATAAATCAAGTATTTTGGTAAGAGAGAAACAAATACTTTTTAACCCTTGTTTAAAACAAGCCAGCAGCATATCCAGTCTCCTGTATCTCTGGATGTACCCAGAAGGTATCTGTGGGGATTAACAGTGTCTCACTCTCAGACTGACTCTTGTTTTCCCCTTCTGATGAGCTGGCACTATCAAATCCCTCAGCACAGACTATTCAACAACGAAAGCTTAGTTTGAACTAGAAAAGAGATGTACCTTCCTTCCTTCCACCTGTGTATATCAAACACAGCAGTATAGAGCACATCTACCAGCCCCAAAGTCTTCTCCGGATCCAGACTCCTCTGCAGCAAAGACATTGTTGCTGGATCTTCTTTCAGACACCTGTCATCATTAAGTTTAAATTAGAAATCAAAATGCTCCTTTTTTACATTAAACAATTCTACCATCTCAGTCAGAATACAGAAGGCCAATTGCTGCACTCCTGCAGAATGACCTGGGAATGCTAGGGGCTCCTGGGCCGCAGCCCGAGCTCTGCCTGCTGTGGAACAGAGCTAACCAAACTGCGAGGTTCAGCAGCACAGTGTACTGAACTCATCACTGACAAGAGCTCTTTAGAGCAGGCACAGCTCAGCACAGCAACGAACACCGAACACTCAACACCCCTTTCTGGAACAGGGCAAGAGCGTGACACAGCCCAGCCCGTGCCGGGAGCCCGAGCCCGGCAGGCCCCGCGCGGAGGCGGTTCCGCGCACCCAGCGGCGCGGGGCGGCCGCGCCTGAGCGGCACCGGCGGCTCGGGACGCGCTCCTGCGCTACCGCCGAGCGCCAGCAGGCGGCGCTGCCCCCGGCAGCGACCCACGGGCATCCCGGGGCACCGCGACACCAACACACAGACAGACACACAGACACACACTCCTTCCTTCTTCCCCTGCCCCCGGGACACTCCTTCCTTCCTTCCGCCGGGAAACAACACCGGGACACACACCATACATGCATACATTCCTTCCTTTCCTCCCCGCCTCCCCTCCCCCGGGACACAGCAGCGGGGCTCTCCTCCCTCCAGGCGTGCCAGCAGCACCATTAGGAATAGGCTGCCTCTGTAAGCAGTCCAGTGAATCAAATGTGTTGTACTGAAATTCCTAACACTGACTCCTTCCCAATTAGAGACAAGCACTGCTTCCTGCTCCCGCTGCTTTGAGCGGGAAGAAGTCCTCACAACCTGCAGATCAACCATTCTTTACTAGGCAGTCACCTAAACTGGCAGGAACAGCATCTCTTGGAGCCCAGAGGTCCGTGGTTGATGACAGCACCTAAAGAACAGCCCAGTGAAAGAGCAAAGGCTCTCACATTAACTCAGCCAATTCTCGGCCTTCCTGAGCTACAGCTGGGACCTGCTGGGATGGACCATAACAGGAGTACTGGCAGATTATTATTTCTGAAACCTTCTCTTTGACCAACAAGCTTTTTCATTTCCTGCAAGTCTCAGTGTCCCTGCACTGCCTCTCTTGCCTTAGGAATGGAGGTGTTCAACCAGTCCAGACAGAGGAACTTAAGGAAGCTTGCCCTAATTGTGCACGTTCTCTCTTCCATTTGTACTGCAACAATTTTCCCCACATACTTCAGTCACAATCTGCAGTACAGTACTTTTATTTACCAAGTTGATGGAACTTGCACCACAATTCTTGATCCTTCTAAACTTATCTGAGGAGCATAGGCTTCTTTATTTTCAATCTGTGCCGTGTCCACAACCACCTAGTAAATAAAATAAAAGGGAAAAAAATTTCAGGAATTAGTTATTTTATCACCCCTGTAATTAAACTCTAACACTCTCTCCTTCCAGTCATGCTACAGGTACAAAAAAAAAAAAACCCAAATAAAACCAAACCAACTAATGAAATCACTGTAAATTTACTTTTAATATAAAATTAGATTAGTACAGAAACCTGTATTTCAAGGACTTAGCTCTTCTCAGTTACATCCTGTAGTAATGCATCACTATGCCACTACCAGCTGCTCTACCCCACTGCTGGTAGTTCTCAGTTCTCAGTATTTTTGAGAAATTTAGCACAGTTACTACTTTAAGAGTTCCCAAACACCTACTCAGCAAAATGTTTTACATAATTTCACTGTAGTGCATGGTATGATATAGACAAGTAATATCCAGCCAGAAGCCCTTCAAAATTCCTAACACAAATCACCCCCTTTTAAGGCTATAAAATTCCACACCAACATTTCTCTACTCCACTTAATGAAACTGCACTATTATTAATTCCTGACTAAATAAAGAGAAGAAAAGTGACAGTTCAGTTTGTTGGATTCTGAGCCACCTCTAAGACGTCATGCAGACAATATGGAAGAGGAAAGTCTTGAAAACCAACCCTGTGTCATGAACCTTTCTTTTTAGACAATGGAAAAGGAATGGATTCACTTCAGCTTCATTTAGCCTTTAATTAGTAAGTTCCATATTTGGTTCATGCTTTCTGTTGTAGTCCAGTCTGTGTGGGTTGGCTTTTTTGATCATTTCCATAATTTCCTATTTTGGTCATGCTGAAACAGCAGCTTTTTGGCAGCAGTCAGCAGTTCTTGCTTCAGTGACTAGCAGATTAGCTGTACCATTTATCCTTGAAATGGCAAAAGTCCTCTGCTATAACTAAGCCTCAAGGGACATTATTGACTTTGTTGCCATCACCTAACCTACATTGGTCCTGCTTCTGTCTGTTACTGGCTATGAAAAAATGTGAAACAAAATGCTGAGTTTCTCTCACTTAAACAAAACCATAAAATAACACTTGAACATAATTATTTCCCACCTTTCAAATATTTTAGCAGAAGGCCTTCTTTTTACTTCAGTTGACTCTAAGCCTTTGCCCAGGTTTATTCAATTTTAAACATGTCTAAGCATGGTGATAAAAGGCCACACCATCATCCACCCCTGAAAATACCTCTCATTTTGTAACAGGACAATTCCAGTAGTTTGGTGTGTGTATATTTTAATTTTATTTAATTTGGTAATCTGCAATTCAGCCCTATTGCAGGGGTAATTTGTAACAGTTAATAACTGTTAACAGATAACTCCTCATAACTGTAATAAGGAGAAATGAATTCAGGAGTGATTGTTCTCAACTCCCAAGAAAAACACAGTCTGCACCTCAGGCCTGAAGTCAGAGGTAAAACTCTGATTTGGGCAGGCCTGTGTCAGGTTCTGGTTGGGGTGCATGGTTGGTGCCCATGGTCCAGGCTTTGTTGGGGTGTTCCTCCCCCAGGACAAACCTTTGTTTCTTCCCTTTGCAAAAAGCTTTACATTTCTCAACATCTGTCAAAGTCAGGATGTCTGGGATTTCAACTTTACTAGGGAATTTAGTGCTCCTGCAATGCATGTTGATGTTTGCTATGGAAAGGTCTGCTAGCACAAAAAAATAATTTTATCTATTAACCTCTTTGCATGAGGCCAATTGGAAGTTTTACTTTGGCTCATCCTCCAAATTCAGCTATTTGAATGTACATCACTTTTATTCAAACATGCAGATTTCATCAGCTGACCCAATCTCAAAATGCAATTCTTATTATACACATGCTAAGGTAAGAACTGAAAATCAGCACTTCAAATTATTTATGTTAAAAAACTACAGCCCAAAATAACCAAGCAAACTAAGTCACAACTCATTGTGCTTTCCCCACTTCATGAGTCGCTTCTTAAAAGGAACAAGGGCACAAGATAGGTTAAAAGCAGTGAGACTGTCAAGTAATGTTTTTTCCAACTGGGCATTTAAGATACAGATCCACACACAATTCTGAATGAATGCAGACAGCCCAGTACCTAAAGCAGTACACCAACGCCTACGTAATGCTGTGCCATGACTCATTTATCTGCCTTCTTCATAAAATAAACTTCAAATAAACACATCCTCCCTCCCCGCCTGGTGGTGCTTAGAGAACAGCTTCCTGTGCCTCAGACGTCCATTGTTCTTGTTTTACAGGTGCTTCCTCTCTCCCTTCCACCCAAAGAACTCTTTAAAAACCCAAATTACAATTTCTTGTCACTGCATGAAGCTACATACAAGCATAACTGGATGTTGTAAAAAAAAGATGGCACACAGTTTATAAAGAAAAACCTCAACCCTCATCCCCTTCTAAACTGTAACAAATCAAAGCGAGAATGAAGGAGAGCAGGCTTGCAGGTCTTCTGTCATGTGCACAGCTCATTATGTGCCTTTGAAGAGTGAAGCCTGCTACTTTCAGAACCTGATGTTCATGCAAAAATCTTTGGAGACATTCAGGATCCAACACAAGTGAAACTCCATAGCTCAGCACTGTCATTTGGGAGAATGTGTAAGCAAGTTTTATGGTGACACTCTCCAAAAGTGATGACAAACCTGAAGAATGTCAGTGCTTCAATTAGCAGCAGGTCTAACTCGTTATGTCTAGACTGGGGGACACCAGATTTCCAGATTCCTGAGTCCAAATGTGCCTCGTGCCACTCCTCAAACCCCCTGGGGCAGGACTTGGGTGTGCACAGCACTGAAACCCCCTGGAAAGGAAATGGTGGAAGGGGCAGCATCCTCCCAGGCACTCCTCATCCAGACACTCAGGAGCCATGAGCTGCTCCTGGGCTACAGCACACTCCCAAAGGGCTGCTGAGAAACTCCTTCCTCCTTGGCCTCATTTCCTGTACCTCACTGCTGACTCCCAGCATCCTACCAACTGTGGCAGCTGAAGACACAATCCTATTTAACCTTATCCTTTTTCCAGTCCTCCTTATATTTATTAGTATTTAATACACATTTTCTTTCGAAACACCTAAGGAGAAATTTGATAAATCCTACTATTCCACAGTTTCTCTGTCCCTGCAAAAACACCACCTTCTTATGGCTCCCGTAAAACTTCTCAGACAAAGCACTGCCCTCCCCTGCCCTTCAACCCCTGCATCTCAGTGAAGCAAGGACTGACAGCAGGGGCCCTGCTGCTGTGACAGTGATGGTCTGCACCTTAGATTTTAGGCTGCCATTATATGAACAGTCAGTTGAATTCCAGTACAATTTCAACCTACTTCTCTAACAGGTATTTACTATTAAGGGACTATCTAAGATCTGATATCTAGTATCAAAGGGATCCCTAAAGTAGAAATATCTGGCCAATTCATCATTTCCAATTTATCATTCAACATTACTGGATAACCTTTTAACAGTACCAAAAGCACATGGTTTAATTTGCTAGGATGGAAGGTCTAGGTCACCTAACCAGCTGTGTGATTTGTCTGAAAAACAGACTTAAAAATATGCAGCTATTTGGGTCCTTTAATCATAAATTCATTACAAAGCCCTCATGGTCCCCCATCATCTTGAACAAGGAATCAGCAATGAGCCAGCAAGAAGCATTTAACTCACTGTAGGTTAAAGACAATTCAAAGAATACTTGAAAAAGTCATCATAGGTTACAGTGTACCTTTATCCTTGCATTTCCTTCCTATGCTGAAGGTGCAGCCTTTTCCCCTACTCACAGTAGTCCAAAAAACCTACATGTCATGCACAAACACTTCACTAAGTGCAGAGATTGCAGTAATTAGTCATGGGAGCACAAATGCATTTTCTTATCAGAGTATGTTCCAAGCATCTATTTTTATCAGCTGCTTAGATACTGTAAATTCCACTGGTTTTCTTCCCCTCAAGAACACCATGTCTACAGCAGGCATTTAATTTTTCTGTCCTCTGTTGGAGATGTCAGGTAGCATTACCTGGTGCAGAGACTTGCTGGTTTATGCTGGGCAGGAAATTCAGCTTCCAATCACAGCAGAGAGGAAATGAAAAAATGGCAGGTTTTGAAGCTAATTTGAGAGGGGGTAGATGTGTCTTTGGGTATGTTTAGTTTTTTTTTTAACATGGTCATCTATAGATTTGAAAGTATTTCTATTTCTCTATGAAACAGAAGTTTCATTTCTTGTGTTCTCTCTTGAACTGGAGACCAGGAAGCACCTGGTGCATTCTTCTGTTCCTGTCAGCTATGGACACCACCTACAGACCCCCACTGTACAAGGACACACTCTGCTCAGAAATCAAGTTAACTGCAGCACTAAAAATAGAGCAACACAGAGTAAGACACTGCAAATTAATTTCTAAACTCCAAAATACCTAGCTTCTCCTCAGGGTGTTTACATAACCTTTGTTTTCCTGAGACTATTGGTAGCCACCTACCAGTCCAGCCTGGCCAAACAGCAGCTGCACAGCAGTTTTGCAGGCTCCTCTCCACGTGGAAGGGCAGACCTGGTTCAGCACTTCAGTCACGGGAGAGTCGTCCCGGGGTGTGAGTCCATTGTGGCATCCGGCTTCCTTGATCAACTGCAGCATTGTGTGCTGCAAAAAGAATAAACACACTGTGCTACCCAGCACACGATTCACAAATGGTACCACCAATGCTTGCAGATGGATTTGTCATTGTTCTACATGCTCTTCAAACAGCTACAATGTCTGCAACCTCTCAGCAGTCACATAACTGGGAGAGTTCCACTGCAGAACAGAAATATGGAAGATTGTCTCTGCTGTTTGGAACACAATACTGCTCCAAAATCATAAACAGTATTTCTGCTTATATTCTTGCAAACCAGTTTAATCAAAACTACAAAAAGCACTGCAAAGAAAACAGAAAAGCAGCATTTTGAGCAACTTATTATTTCAACTCTTTCAGGAGCAAGGAACTGGGTTTATCTAAAAAAAAAAAAAGTGAAGGTGCTAAGTAAAATTGCCCAAACTACTTCTGAATGGACATATTTTCCATTTGTTTATACTGAAAATATAATTAACTTCTCCACAATTTAAAATTCTTTTTAAAAAACTGATTCCAGTTTGTAAGATGACATCAAAAGGAGCTCTGTTACAAAGTATTTTTTTCAAAGAGCTCCCTTAGTACCAGGCTGGGCTGACTTGTGCACCTAAGAAGAGGAAGGCTCTGATATGCATCACTGGCTGGGGAATCTGTAAGGGCTCACTTTCCTCTGTATTTCTTCATAGCTAACACATCTCTTTTCAAGAAGTTCCAGATGTTTCATTGCATCCTATATCTCTCTGCCTGTTATGCCTGTGCTTGTCCCATATTTGACCAAAACTACTCAGGTGGTCAAAATGTTATCAGAAACAGGTGTAGCCCTACAATGCTATCAATATCCTGTTTCCACAGGAAGCCAGGCTGAAAAAAGCACTTTTAAACACAGGTTTGGCATGAAACTCCTCTTACTGTTGTTTTCTACATTTTAATGAATTCTACTCTTTCTCTCCCCATCTTTACTTCTGTGGTTAATTAGGAGTTATTACCGTTTTCAGCTTCAGGTTTTCTGCTGCAGACTCATTGAAGGAGATTCCTTTCAGAAAATGGGATCCAATCTGGACAGGGACAGTGGGCAGCTCACACTGAATGGGCTGAGGTGGAGTCTGCCTCCTTCCTGTTTGCTGAGCTTCAGCTTCACTGCAACAGCCCTGAAGTGCAGAAGAACAGATCAAACAGAAGAAATGAAGACATTAGAAAATCCTAATATGGGTTCAAATGTTTGTGTATTTTAGGTACCCTTTTCAAGGTGAGGAGGGATGAAAGAGAGCAGGTTTAGCAGATCCTACCTGAAGACTTGCTTCAATTGCTTTTGGGTTCAAGTGGAAGCCAGCCTTCATTGCATATTCACAATGACCCAAGCTCTCCAGAGCCCCTTTGTAAGCCTGACATTAAACAGAAAGTTGAGAAAGCACAGGTGTATCAGCAAGGAAGCAAGCACACAGTCACTGTGCCTGGGTACAGCCAGGGACTGCTACAAGGATGTACCCCACTCACTTCTATGGCACACACACATTTATCATGTCACACCCCAAAGCTGCAGTTCCCAAATACCTCTGAGCTGTCTGTGCTACACAATTCTGCAGGAACACACTCCTTCCCTATTTCACTCCTTGACCCACTGACTGTACTACATGCACATGAAAGCAGCAGACTTGAAAAACCACCTGCAAAGCACTGTCAATTTTCATGTTTAGCTCTTTGAGCTGATGTTCAGGGATGGCCACAGTCTGTGAGCAGAAAAGCTGCTGAACTTCAATTCCTGCCAAACATCCATCACAGCCTCTTTCTCGCAGTCGAGATGTGGCCTGTAAGGTAAAATAAAAATCCAGGGTGAGGAGGGTAAGCATTAAACCAGGTCAAGCTTAATTAAATTTCAAAAAAGAACAAGAAAGTCCACAGACTTTAAAATCCTCTACAGGAGATGAGAAGCAGCACCTGGGGGAAAGGACCTGGAAGAGACCTTATTATAACTTATTCCACTTCTGCTGCCACTTTGGAAGCAGAACTGATGCAACCTGTACAGCTCATGGGTGCTGCAAGCACTTAGGTTCACCATTGATTGGTGTTACTATTTCAGCTCCCTGTCAGGACCAGGGATCCTGTTACACAGCCCACACCATGGCTGTGGTTACCTGAGGACAGACTTTTAACTCCAGCATAAACAGAAAATATGTTAAATCATGTCTACAAGCACTCCTGTGTTCACAGGTGATACAGTTCATAAAGTTATGGGTGATCACTGTGGTGCAATTTGAGAAGGGCCACACAATGCTAAGATCAACTTAGCACAGCAAGAAAATAGCTTTATAAGAAATAAGCCAAATATCTACTTTTAGCTATGAAATCCTACATTATTGTAAAGCAAATTGATGTGGGTTATTTTCCAGTCTAGGAAGGAGTCTTGCTCTAAAAGCAGGATGTCCAAACTGGGGGCTTCTGGTACTACAGCCAATGGACAGACAGGCTCACCTGACAGACAGGATACTGCATTTCCCAAAGTGAACCTTAAGGAGCAAAACCAGTTTTGAGCTACTGACAAAGTATCACCTTAGACTTCACTCTGAAGCAGCAGTGTTCTCCTGCCAGAGAGACTGATTTTATAGGAAAACAGTGGATTGCCTTCCACTCCAAAGTAAAAAATTGGCAAAGATTTCAGCATTTCACATCACACTTCTATCAAAATTATTTCTATTAGTCTATCTACAATTATGAGAGAGAGATCTTATTTATTTAGAAACCACATATTTTTCTTATGCTATCCTGATACCCTACACAACTATTCCAAATCAGCAATTTCAGTCAATCAAAAATTGAGAAGTTTCTTCTATTGTTATTTTGGAACTATGGAGAATCTGTATTTTATCTGTCTCCTCCCCATATATGTTTAACACAGGATTTGATTAGCACAATACTTGTACAAAACTATTCTGAAATACAGGTTTTGTATTTCTGAAAAACAGAAATAGCTGAAGAGGGCTGCTCAAAAGATAAAAAACAAAGCTAAGGCCCTTGATTCTGTGAGGCCAAGTTTAATTTTAACCACAGTTTTAATAAATTTGATAGCAATTGCAAGGCATTTCTAGAAACTGTAGTAGTTGTAAGAACCTAAGTATATTACACATAAAATTATCTACTTTTATGCCAAAGTAGTACAGCTATACCAGGATTAGACCTGTTACAATTATCTGTAATACACATAAAGCACTCCCAAATCCCTATTTTATCCAGTTAAATAAATTTATGCTGCAGTAAAAAACACAAATAATCCCTCTGCATCCATGTAATTCATTTGCTTTCCTGTACCTTGCAGATGTTAGTGATAAATTGAAACCCTGACAGGATTTCCAGTCAGGATGGGGCCAAATGAGACTGCACATGCTCCAAGTCCTCTGGATTTAGGGAAAACACACACTGTGTCTGAATCCATTCTGGTCTATCGGTCTCCAGGCTTCAATACAGCCAGGGAAAGCAGAAAACCTCATAAAACTGAATGTCCTTATAAAAAGCACTGGTTTTGGCTGGCAAAGTAAGGATTCCACAGATGGCAGGTGTTTGTCAAAGTACAAGTCCAGAGAGTGGCACATTTAAGTAACATGGGTCAAGCAACATCAAGCTTAACAGCATGAAGACAGAGTGTTAAAAATTACCACAAAGATTTTAAAGTATAGAATAGAATTTGTGCTCAAAAATTGTGAGAAATAGACATTATCTAGATTATTTTTCATCAAGATTTTGCTCTGCTTTCACAGAGACTTGTTGAGGTTTTTATTTTTAATTCCCTCCTCACCTGACAGACAGGATACTGCATTTCCCAAAGTGAACCTTAAGGAGCAAAAACAGTTTTGAGCTACTGACAAAGTATCACCTTAGACTTCACTCTGAAGCAGCAGTGTTCTCCTGCCAGAGAGACTGATTTTATAGGAAAACAGTGGATTGCCTTCCACTCCAAAGTAAAAAATTGGCAAAGATTTCAGCATTTCACATCACACTTCTATCAAAATTATTTCTATTAGTCTATCTACAATTATGAGAGAGAGATCTTATTTATTTAGAAACCACATATTTTTCTTATGCTATCCTGATACCCTACACAACTATTCCAAATCAGCAATTTCAGTCAATCAAAAATTGAGAAGTTTCTTCTATTGTTATTTTGGAACTATGGAGAATCTGTATTTTATCTGTCTCCTCCCCATATATGTTTAACACAGGATTTGATTAGCACAATACTTGTACAAAACTATTCTGAAATACAGGTTTTGTATTTCTGAAAAACAGAAATAGCTGAAGAGGGCTGCTCAAAAGATAAAAAACAAAGCTAAGGCCCTTGATTCTGTGAGGCCAAGTTTAATTTTAACCACAGTTTTAATAAATTTGATAGCAATTGCAAGGCATTTCTAGAAACTGTAGTAGTTGTAAGAACCTAAGTATATTACACATAAAATTATCTACTTTTATGCCAAAGTAGTACAGCTATACCAGGATTAGACCTGTTACAATTATCTGTAATACACATAAAGCACTCCCAAATCCCTATTTTATCCAGTTAAATAAATTTATGCTGCAGTAAAAAACACAAATAATCCCTCTGCATCCATGTAATTCATTTGCTTTCCTGTACCTTGCAGATGTTAGTGATAAATTGAAACCCTGACAGGATTTCCAGTCAGGATGGGGCCAAATGAGACTGCACATGCTCCAAGTCCTCTGGATTTAGGGAAAAAACACACTCTGTGTCTGAGTCCATTCTGGTCTATCAGTCTCCAGGCTTCAATACAGCCAGGGAAAGCAGAAAACCTCATAAAACTGAATGTCCTTATAAAAAGCACTGGTTTTGGCTGGCAAAGTAAGGATTCCACAGATGGCAGGTGTTTGTCAAAGTACAAGTCCAGAGAGTGGCACATTTAAGTAACATGGGTCAAGCAACATCAAGCTTAACAGCATGAAGACAGAGTGTTAAAAATTACCACAAAGATTTTAAAGTATAGAATAGAATTTATGCTCAAAAATTGTGAGAAATAGACATTATCTAGATTATTTTTCATCAAGATTTTGCTCTGCTTTCACAGAGACTTGTTGAGGTTTTTATTTTTAATTCCCTCTGTCTGCCCTATTTGAACACTGGTAGTTCATTACTAATAACAAAAATCTGCTTGCACTGCTTGTGTGCTCCTTATGTACAACCCTATCACAAAGAAAATTTACACAGGGCAAAGATAGTGCAGTCATCACATGAGTAAAATGAGTTTTAGTGTCTGAAACCAACTGTGCCACGTTCCCCCCTCCAAATGCAGTGTGTCTTTAAACTCAGGTATTTTCTTCCTTTGTTAGGACGCCCAGGCTGACTTCAGGTTTCACCAAATCTACTGTCTTACAGCAAGACCTCCATACCTCTGCTGCTCCTCTCCAGGATCTTATTGCATCTTCCAGCTCATTTGTGGGGTTTATATTTGAGGCTCCAGTCCCACTAACGTTCTTCCTCTCCTGAGCTACAGCTTCAGCAAAGCAGGAGTGTGCCACTGGCTGGACCTTCTGCAAAGCCTGGGACAGGAATTGGAAGTGGACCTGCATCACTGTCAAGAAACATCGCCCAAGTACCTGTGGGAGACAAACAAAGCAGTTTCAAGCACATAGAGCTCATGGAAGTTTCCCTTCTTCCTTTTTGTTTGGTGTTTGGGGTAAGGAACTACATTAAACCCTGATTTTTTAAATTAAAATAATGCTTCAGATCATAAGAAAGAGATGATATTTAACCATTTACTTAAAATAGTAGGTGGGTAAGTGAGCAGTAGTTTCTGTGAATGAAGAGGACACCAGACTAATTCTGAGTCATTTTTAGTTCTGTACTCGAGTTCTGACTACTTGAGGACTGAAAAGCTTGCTCAGTTACTTGGCAAAATCAAGCATAAAAATGGGAATAGCATATTATCACAAGGACCAAGTCAACACCAAAACCCACCTGCACAAAGCCCTGGCTGAATTTCTGATAAAAACCAAAACAGCAACAACAAAACAATAATTTTAAAACATTAACATAAAATGTAGGGGCTGGCCAGCAGCTCACCCTCCAGGCAGAGTGGAAATGGCAGGCAGTGGGCATCAGCAGCCTCCGGCCCCTGACGCCACACACGGTGCCCAAAGCTGAAATGTGCCACTGGCACAGTGTGACAGAACTGCCTGTGGGACACTGCCCTGATATGGCCCCTGCCACGCTCCCAGGAGGGCAGGGCAGGGCAGCAGGGTAGGGCAGGGCAGGGCAGGGCAGGGCAGGGCAGGGCAGGGCAGGGCAGCAGGGGCAGGGCAGCAGGGGCAGGGCAGCAGGGGCAGGGCAGGGCAGGGCAGAGTAGGGCAGGGCAGGGCAGGGCAGCAGGGGCAGGGCAGGGCAGGGCAGCAGGGGCTCCCTGGGCTGAGGGCACGAGGTGCCACCCCTATCCCTCTCACTGTGCCCAGGGACACTCGGCCATCCCGGGCACCACCAGCACTGAGAGCTGCTGTGCCAGAGGACTCTGGGGCAAGAACAGCAGAGCCAGCACCCAGGGACACCCTGCAGAGCCAGGCTTCCAGCAGGAACTGCTCCTTCCCTGCTCCCTGGGCAGGGAAAGGTGACAAGCATAGAACTAGAGAGCTGCAGAAAAAGGAGGATTCTCCACATCACTGTACAAAATATTTAAAAGCTATTCTAAGTGTTTCTTTCATGGAGTTTACCACACAAAGCCTTTAAAATGTGTATTTGACTTTGATTTATTAAAAAAGACTCAACTTGAATTCCATTTTAGGAATAATTCATAAAATATACAGATAATGTACAAAGCCATCATGCCTTGGAGCCATTAAATCATCTGCCTTATTTTCAGCTACATTCTTCTGGAATAAAACTATTCAGACACAATGTATCTTCCTGGCAGGACTCTCCAGTCACACCAACAGCTTTATGCATTTACTATCTACTCCAGAACAACCAGTGGTGGCAATGCTTTTTTCCACTGCATCCAGACTCCTTTTGACATTCCATTCTGGTTCAATCACTTCCCTTCTTTGTACAAGGCATAAAATTAAACATTTTTGGTACTTTGACTGACCTCTGAAAGTGGAGCTTGCCTTATTAAAAAAAACAGTCAGCAAATGATAAAATGAAGAAAACTCCAACTTTCCTGGGTACGAGATTAGAAAGATTTATAAGAAAAGTGCACGAAGAGGCAACTGGTGATCTGAATTATTTCTGTGTAGGAAGAATGCAGTTCTCAGGGGAAGATGAAACTAGCACTCACTAGGAATTTCAAGCTGATTAAATTTCAAAGAATATTTAAGGTACAAAGGTGGAAGCTTCCCCAGCCTGGGAATAATGCTCAAAATAAACAAATTATTTAGGTTTTAAGTGGCAGCACACAGTATTCCTAAATCTAACTTACAATGTTAAACAGTGAAGGTAAATAGTAACATCTGCTTTACTGAACTTTTATTTTGTTGGAAAAAAATCCATTTCAGCCTTCCTCCAAAATGGGTAAGGATGGTTTAAACTGCTTCACTATCAAAGAGGTGGAGGACTTTTGCACTGTAAAACACTCCCTTTGGATGGATGGTAGATGCCAAATTCATTTTAAAGCTTTAAAGAGCTCACTTGGTCAGATTTTCTGCCAAAGAGCCCCAACTTTGCCTTATCCAACCTCCCCCACCAGGGCTGGGCACTGACCCCTGTGCAGAGCAGACAGGGAACCTCTGCTGCACATCCCTGAACAGCATCAGCACATGGATGCAGCTTTCCACTGTTAGAGACACCACCATGTCTTCTTCAAGTTTATTTGCCCTACTTTGGCATGCAGAAGTGCGAGACTCTCCTCCTTCAGACCAGAATAAGCACAAACCCTACCAACTGTGCAGGAATCAAAGCAGAACTGGAGTCATCTCAGGTGTCAGCCAGTGAGATTTCCTTGGGAGTGGTCATGTTTCCTTCATTTCTCAGATTCATTTATACTGCATCATGAGGTCTTCAGCTTCCAAACTTTTTCGTTTGGAAGTCCACCTTGACTTCCCTGACCTGTGTCAGGCAGGACAGCTTTTGTCTCAGCAGAGCCTTCCCTGCAGGAATCTCTCTTCTCCTGCTCAGGCAGTTGGAAGCAATGGGGATTTTGGTTCCCTACCAACAGGAGCACCAGGTGAGATGTAGTGTAGGTTACTCTGTCCCACTTTATCCTCCTAATGGGGACACACTGTCAGCTCTGGAATATTGCACTGGACAAAGTGCACACAAAATTGCCACTTCTCACTGCAAACAGGGATGCCATACAAATTGCCTGGCAAGAAAATCTTGTACAACAGATTCTTTAAAAGAGAACACTACCAGTAATAAAGCAGCAAATAGCAGGTGTCAGTCTCCCACACTTGATACAAACACTGGCTTGCAGTTCTCCAAGTGCCATTTTATGCAATAGAACTTTCTTCTTTTTTTCCCTTTTTTTGGCTATTTCCTTAAACAAGCAGAATGTTCAAAAAGCCAAACACCTCAACAGAATTATTCTGTGGTTTCCCCTAAGTGTCCTTGGTGGCACAGCCTGGCTGCCACTGAACTGGTGTGCCCCATTATGAGCCAACAACCTGCCTGTACATGACCAGAAGTGGGCAGAATATTACTCAGTTTTACTATCTAGCAGTTCCCTGCAGTTCCAAAGAGTGATCTCATGAACAGAACACCAAACACCTCCAAGGGAAGGCTCAGTCCTGCCCATGGGGTGGAATCACTGCAGGCTGAACTAGATTCCAGCAGAAGCTGCAAGACTTGGGAAACCCAACAGACTCATTGCTTCTAGCAGTGACCCTAAAAGGCACTCATGATAATCTGGTCTTGACAGCTACTGAAGTGGTCACTATCATTTAGCAGAAAAACAATTCAATGTAAAGCATTTTAAAAATAAAAAGCAGCAATTAAAATGTAAGACAAAATATTTTTTTGCTACTAACAATTCCTCAACACAGAAGAGTCCGAAGCCAATCCCTGGAAATCTCAGGAAAGAATAATTAAAAAAATAGTTAAATTTGGCTTTACAATGTTTGTTAAGGAAAGCCTACATTTAATATTTACTCAGATATTTTTGTCTCACAAGATTCTTGTTCAAAAAATCTTAGGCTATTTTATACACATAAAAGCCAAAAATTATCTGAATATAATACAAAACAGAGCACCCAAGAACATACTTGGTGCCCATCCATGCTTCACTTTTGTACAGGAAGGCAACATGAGCCTTCCTCTCATTACTACCACTTCTAAGACAATACACAAGCCCTGTGTAACCAAAAGTAACTCTTTATATTTTGCATACTGAGGCTTCTGCAAAGCTTCACAAGAGATGGGGAAATACACCTACTTTGACCAGTCTGACTCCTCCCTATGGATTTGCTTTAATGTTTTTATTAACAGAAGTACAGCGTTACTGCATTCCCCCAGCTGACAAAGGGTTTCCAGAAATGGAAAACACCCTGTCATTTACCCTGATTTCCAAGCTGTTCCTCACTCATACAGGCACAGAATACCCAAGAATTCAAAGGTGTTTGAAAGGGGAAAAGAAAAAGAAGAAAACAAAAATCAGTATTTGCATTTCTGAAATTAAGAAATCTTGGGAAACTCCATCTGTCACCACACTTTGATCAAGAGAAGTCACCTTCTTACACAGCCTGGCAGACAGTTCTGAACTAGCAAGCTTTGTTCTAAGTAGCAATAAATAAATTAAAACCCTCATCCCGTGGTGCTATAGTCCAGGGTGCACAACAGTTTCCAGTCCAAATTCAAGTCAGGTACGTTCACCAAAACTTAAGTTTTCTTGATATTGCCCTCCCCGGGGGCAGAGCCCACTACAGTAGATAAAGACTTGTGGCACCTGAGAAAAGCCACAGCTCTCTGCTTGACTGCTAAAGCCAAACCTGCTCTGCTTGGACTTCTCATTCCTCCCCAAAACTGCAGCCTGGGTTAAGCAAGGTTTAGGAAAACTGCAATCTCCTTAGCTGGGCTCACGCACAGAAAGCCTCACTCTCATGTCCTTCTCATGAATTTGGGGTTCTGCCAGACTGCACCCTGAACTACAACTCACCTGCCCCTGTTTCTGTGACACCAGCCTCCATCCCTCAAACACGAGCCCCTGCAGAGCCTCTTGGCTCCTGCTCAGCTGCCCCTCAGTGTTCCACCACCTCTCAATTCTCTCTCAGAGCTGTGAGTTCTTTCAGTCACTCACTAGAAAAGCTGACAAAGCAACTCCAGATACACCTGTATTCCCCTCCTGGTATTTTCCAGGGGAACAATTCCACTGCCTCACTTCCCCCATCACTTCCCTGCTCAGTAAACTCTGATGAAGTCAGGCAAGCCCTTTATGTTTTTCTGCTTACATTGTGAGTTTTTTTAATCCTGCTGGCAGTTTTATGAAATGTTAACTTCTCTATCCACCAGGGGGAAAAAAGCAAACCACTTTTTAAATTGAAATTTCAGCATCAACAGCTGAGTTTTCAAATCCCAGAAAAGCACAATGGGAGAGGATCTCACCAGGTCACCCTTCTGTCCCTAGCAAGGAGCAATTTCACCTAGGTCAGTTTTGCCAGAGGCAGGTTTAACCTGTTCTGTCAGCTCTGCTCCCTACCCTTTGTAGCAATCCACATCAGTGCCCCACTAACATTACAAAGGATTTCCACAGCATCTAATGTGAATCTTTCCTTCTGAAATTTAAGTTCCTTGCTCCACCTTACATGGGCATGAAGAACAGACACTGACATGTTCTGGCAACTTCTCACACACCTGAGCAATTTTGATTTTTCTCCTCAGCCTCCCTTTCTGCAGAGTCCATCTTTTCAATTTGTCCTCTAGGTCCTATTTCCTGGATGTCTGATTACTCTTGCTCCACTCCTTTGGCTCCCTCTTTCTCCAAGCACACCAGCAGTGCTGTGCATGTGCACTGCTGTGTTTAAGGCCATAATAACCCGTGAAGAGTTCAGTGCCCAGTTAATGGCTCTTGCAGGTTAGGGGTGTGTTAAATACATGGTAAATGTCTCTTTGCACAACAGCAGCAGCACTGATTTATTATTTCCAACTGCACAACACTGACTCTTCCCCAACACATGACTCCCACGAGCCCTAGGACTGTTCTCCAGAACTGCTGCCCAGTGGGCTCCACTCTTGAGGCTGAAAAAGTCTATTTAAATATTGCAACATTCAGCTTTCACCTCTGAATTCCATCCCAAGTGCAAAACTCATTTGGCCAAGATTATTTTTAGTTCAACAGGTCTCTCAGCATACTCATGTCCTGTGCTTTCAAGTCACCTGCAAACAAATACACTCCTGTACTGGCCTCTGCCAAGGTCCATTTCAACAGTGAGCAGTTGCTGCTCCCTGGGCACAGCCACCCAAGCCCTCTGCCTGCAGAATTCACTCATCCACAGTCCTGAGTGACCCACAGAACAACCACGGAGTCACTGTCAATTCCCCACATCCTGCTGCTGCTTAAACCAAAGCAGAGCACAACACTTGTCTCATTGCACAGACGTGCCCATAAATCTCACATACTGACCTTTTTCAAAGCCACGTGCAAGATGCAGTTTTATTAAGAAAAGGTAGCAGAAAAGTGTGATGAGAAGTGCTGGGACAGCCCAAGAGGTGCAGGCAGGGAAGGCCAGGAGCAGCAGTTCTGCTGCCACTCTGCACAGCCTTGCTCCCACCACGGAGCTGCTGGGCAGGGAGGGAGCACTGCAGGGGCACACAGAGCCCAGAGCAAGGGCTAGGCCTGGCCTGGCAAAGCTGGGGCCAAAGCAAATTTCTCTGCCTTTAGGCTGGCAGGACGTGCACCCACCTGACACAAACACTGCTTTGCTCTGCCCCTCAGCTCCCTGCACAGCACAGGGCACAACCAGCACCACCCTGCCTGCCCACCTGACACAAGCAGCTCTACTGATGGCTCAGCACTTGGAAGGACAGCGTTTCCAAGTCCACAAAAACCCCTAGAAGACATCTAGCGCTTCATATGCTTTTGCTTTTTTTAATTCAGAAAGTTTTTCAGCACATCTATTATAAATATCAATTAATTACATAAACTCACTCTTTTGTATATACATTGCTATAGCTTTAGCTAAAGAGTGATGTTATTGGATTGCTTTTAAAAATACCAGCCTACAGAAGACATTTATAGCAAATATATAGCCCATCTTACTTCATTCTATACCAAATATACAACACTGAGAACTGCAGTACACAACTGCAGGGAGAGCTGCAGGACAAACTGCACCTTCCCCAACCACTCCATCTGCAAGTGGTGCAGAGAGAGAAAGCAGGTAATGCCTGACAGGCACAAACAGCCACTCTTACAAAGCTACCCGAAACCTGAATCAAAACCAAGAGAACTTAAAGTAGGTTTTCCATTCAGGATATAGTTCTGAAGGAATAACTCTGCATAAAGCTGCAAAGTGAAGAAATACGTCAAAACAGAAGGAGCTACTTAAAACTCCAGGGATTTATCTGTGACTATCACTTGACACTGCCTGCTAGGTAACACATTTACTGGAGGAGAAATACCCAACCTTCCCAGGCAGGCATGGTGGGAAGCTGGGGATCTCTCTCAATCCTGATTCTTGGGTGCTCACTGCCAGCATACGAACCTTGTAGCAAAGCCGTGACGAATTTTGACAGCACTAATCTCTCACACAGGGTGTTATTTTCCTCTCACAACAGCTCAAAAAGACAAAAATGTTCTAAACAGTGATAAAATCACTCTGTAGTCAACGAATATGTAGTTTTACTGAAACACTGATGACAATATGCTACTCCCATGTGCTCAGGTTTCCCTTCAAAATGGATAATACCAAGGAACCTGTAGGCTGATTCAGAATATGATGGCACAATATTTTCAGAAATGTTAGCTGACATAAACCAGAAAATGGTTTACAACTTTTGTCCAGTTGGTTCTTCTACAGAAATACCTACTAAATACCTAATTTAACATGGATGGAGGTCAGATCTCGCAAATGACTTAGTACTTTCTTAGTATGAAAGAAACGAAGAGCTTCTTTTTCCATCAGCATTACCCACAAATACACAGCATGGTGGAGAAAACTTTTGGCGCAGAAGGGATTTTGAAGAGAAATCCAGTTAAGAAGGAATGACACAAATTCACGTGCAAACCAGTATCCTCCAAGGTAACCTACCTCAATGTCTTGTAGGCTGAACTCTTTTTGATCTTTGAAGTTTGCAGCTCCTGCACTCAGTTCCATCAGCATTTTTGCTATTTCTGGTTTTATTGCTGCTGTGAGTCGGCTCGCCGCTTCCATGACATGTTCCTGCACGTCTTTCAGTTGCATAGCTGCCTTAGAGTAGTGCGAGTTCCTGAACACGCTGCTGAAAAGGTCTGTGAGGAAAGTGCTCGTACGGCAAAACACGTTGAGTGCATCCAGGTATTTGGAGATTCCCTGCTGGATGTCTGCGATCGGAGTCGTGTGGGAGGCGGGGTGGGAGCAGCCGCCGGCAGCAGCCGGGGACACCAGGGGGGTGCTGGGGGTGGCCGAGGCCAGCGGGGCGCTCAGGGTCCTGCCCAGCTCGGGCATTTGATACTGCTGGTGTTGCTGCACCTTCTGCTTGGACCCGCCAAGCAAGAAGCGCCGCTTATAGTCCATTTTGCTTTCTTGTGCACTGCAGCAATACATAAGTGAGTGCTTGTCCAGAGAGTTCTTGAATTAACAATCACTTGTCAAATTCCTTCCTCGGGTATCTATGTACAGTACCGGTGCAGGACTGTGTACATAGGTTTCACAAAAGGCATTTCAGAAAGGCGAGCGTCTGTATAATCTGTATCAGCAGTGGGAACGGCAGCAGATTTGCTGACTCCGTGTTTTCAATGTTGGGTGCAGCCCTGCTGCAGTTATAAACTGTACTCAAAAAGCAAGCCCAAGTATCTCAATAATGCTCTGTCCCTTTGTGTATCCCCTCCGCAGGCAGAAAAGCAACTGGAGCAGAGAAGTGATCGCCTTCAAGTTCTTCACGAGCACAACACCGTCTCTTGCTGTTGCATCTACGAAAGTTAATTTTGTCAATGCAAATAATAGCTTTAGAAGCAATACCTTAATACAATTCCCCCATTAGTAGTATCAGGAAAAGTGGAGCAAACCACCGATCAACAGCGATTATAAAAGCAGTGCAGAGGCTCTTTCCTTGAAAAAGCAAATCCTTATGTCAGCAGATCAAATATCTTCAAATGTCTTGACAGATCCAGTCTGCCAACTCAGTTTACTTGTAGTGTCTCTTCTTAATATTGGAGGGGGGGAAAAAAAATCTGGACTGTTTGCAGAAGACTTTGCAAGTATAAGCTATTAAAAACTAGAGTGTTTGTTATTGCAAGCCTTCTTCCCCTTTCCCTGTTTGTTGAGGTAGTTGTTTCCGTTGTAACTTTAAGAAGTGGTGCTTCCAGACTGCGTTTGCCCTCAATTGCAGACTCAGAACAAAAATGCACAAATGTATTTGTAAGGCCTCTAGGTCATTTCCTGTGAATGGGGAAAAAAAAAAAAAAAAGTTATACATCAGAGAACAATGAGAAGATTTAAAAATTTAACTCCTGCAGTGTCCTGGTTCACATCTCTGGGCACACACAGTCAACAACACCCAAGATCCAAAGGGGAGAGCTGCACTGAGTTGAAAAAACTGTTAGAAGCCAGTGTCATCCTGTGGCTAAACTCAACACTGGAGTTGGATATTTTCTTGTTAATTCTTTCATTGTAGGCTGTCAAACTTAAGAGTCTGGTCAACCCCCAGTGCAAGTCTTGCACAGTTAAGAACAGTGCAAGGTATTACTGTACAGCTCAAGGGGATAGTTAATCACATTTTCTAATCTCATCCTTTAAAAATAATTTTAAAATGAAATAAATTAAAACTTCATGCACCATAATTTATTGCACAACTCTCCCATTCATTTTAATAGTTTAGTAAGTCGACAGATACAGGTCCCTAGTTTTTTATTTAGTACAACAACAGACAAATCTTCCTAATCCTGAGATTAACTGAGAAATAGAACATTCATGTCCCATTCCAGTGTGATGGGCAGGCAGCATCTCTCATACACAAGGTGGTACATGAGGCACAACTGCCTAAGAATATGATTGCACTAAATAGCACTCAGCACACATCAAAGTAGGGAGGAAGTCAACTTCTGTACTGCCCTGCTCCTGCTGGCAAACCCTGCTGCAGCTGGAGAGCCAAGAGCTCCTGGAGGGCATCTGCAGGAAGGGGAGCAGAGCCTGAGCAGGGACAGGGATGAGATGGAGCACGAGGTGTTCAATACCAGACACTCAAACAGTGTCAGGACAATATCAGAAGGCTACAACTCCTCCCATCAGTTTGCCCAGTCCTAGCTCCAGTCACACTTCAGGCCACTCTCTCCCTTCTCCTACACACACCCCACTTGATTCTATCAAACAAGGGCATCCTTTTCCTTACTGCAGCAATTGCAATGTCAAAGGCACTTGGAAGAATAGTCCAGGAAGCCTTTCATTTAACAACAAAATGTTCCTTTAGCTATTATATTTGAGCAATGAAATCTGTAGTAATATTGTCAGAATGGTTGGGGAAGAATTTCTTATTTCCACCTGTCTGAACACACACAATATTCACTCATTCATTCCCATTTTGGCACGCATGTAGGACACAAGCATCCCACAGATAAAGAAGGAGGCAAGACACAGCAGGACAAAACATCCAGAGCTGGCTAGTCTCACCCCCACTAAAACAACAGGACACAAGTTTTTCAGGAACTCGTTGCTACAGATGGTTTTGCTTCAGAGATCTAGAGCAAATATTCTTTTGTATTTGCACTTTTAAAAACCTAAAACTCAAAGAAATTCCCACATGCATTTCAGCATCCTTTAAGTACTCCAAGCTGACTATTTACCTCCCTAACTACTTCTCTCAATATTCACACTGAATGTGTCAAAATGCAAGAAACTCATTAAAACCATAATTTTCTAGGATGTCTTGATGTCACATGCATAGCTGAAAATAATTTTCTCCTTGTTTTATGAGTTATGGTGTCTTACAGTGGAGAGCATGATTAAATTGGTTTTCTTGATTGCATATAAATGTAAATGGAATAAGAGAGTTTGTTAATTTAAACGCAACATATAAGTACATTAGTGATTGTTTTTCCTAAGTAGACATGACATTTCTCATTGCAGAGGAACTTAAGAAATGATCATGAAAGAAAAAACTAAGAAGGAAGGGTTTTCAAGCTTAGGGTACTGATTTAGATGAGATTATCAGAGATGCACCTCAGCTCAGTGCTTGTGATTACACACAGAGCCTGTCAGGATCAAACACACTGAACCATCATTTGGAATGGTTAAATATTTAGCTATTACATAAACCTGCTGCATAAAAGAACATAAATGCAATGCATAGGAAAAAAATGGTGGCTTCCTATTTTCTACAGTTAAAAACAAAAATGATAAATCATTGTGTTTTACTTCTAGACAATTTTGTAGTCAAACTTGCATGTACTTACTCAACTCTTCAGCTTCAAAATTCCCTAGTAATAAAACCTACACAGAAGCTTAAAGAGGACAGCCTGTATCTTCAGCTGATATTTATTCAGAGAGAGGAAAGCTGCACGCCTCAACACCAGACATGTGTCTGAATACTATGTCTGAAACTCTATAATGAGCTCTCTGACATGCTACATACAAAATAAACATTCCTCATTTTGCATCTTTTTCTGAAAAAGTGAAACACGGAAGGTTCCCACGCCCTCCCTTCCCTTCCCCACTGCTTTTGGTGTGTGCACTAAATGGGAGAGCTCCACACTGAACTGCAGGGACTTCAGGCCAATCTACCTCTTGCCACCTTAGGGGGAAAAGGTAACCAAGGGTTTCCTTCTAGTGATACAAGAACAGCATGTTATCACCCAAAATACAAACCTTAAGCTTATACTTCGTTTTGTGAAAAATAGAAATAGCCACAGAAACCAAGTGAAGGAATTACCAAAAAAGGTACCATACCACAGGAAAAGGTATTTTAGTCCTTCCTTTATGTAATCAAAACCAAAACAGTGCTGTTCAGGTACTATTAAAGACTGTAACAGAATTAATATATAATATAAACCCAGCTCCACACTGAACACTACCCTGCTTGGCAAAACACTGCTGGAAAAGCTCAACATGCTGTTTGCATTCTCACTTCAAGGAGTTAATGCCAAAGTTAAGGAACTGCTGCGAGTTTGGTCTGTTTGAACTTCCACAGAATCAGACAGCTGCACAAGCTCCTCTAAAAATGGCTCTATTTGCATAGAGGAAACAGAAATTGCAGGAAAATGAGTGCAAATGCAAATCTGTTCACTACTTTTTTTAAATGTAGCATCCAAATATTTTTGCTTAGGTGCTTCCCAGAAAAATGCTTTTCCCTAACTTCACCAGTTGCAAGAGACATGAACAAACAGGGAAGACTTTCAGACAAGCGGAGTTTGGTACCCCCCAGTTTGTTTTGGACCAGCATGAGGAGTTCAATTCCCCATCTGTCCTGTTTGGGATTACCCTGCTAGAAGAGAAAGCAACATTTTCCTTGAATCAACACAAGGAATTGAGCAGAGGAAGCAGTGCTTTAAAAAAGATTCTGACCTCAACTTTAAAAACTGGCAAAAGTTTGCCTTCAATTGGTGTTCTTTATGGATTCCGTTGTCCTTCCAGAGAATATGAAATAAAACACAGAAGAGTAAGATAGTTCAAAACACCTGAGCCAACTTTTTGAATGTAACATTTCATGCTGGTTTGAATTAGATGAGATACAGATTCCAAATCTCAGGATGAACTTAGGACCGCACCCACCATTTATGTAAAACAAACTAAATGCAATTAATGTTCAAAAAAAAGCCAAGTCCAAAAGAGACAACCCAGAGCAGCCAGATTGCTTACCCAGGAAAAGCCTGAACAAACAAACCCACTGCGAGGCCAAAAGGCCAGGAAGCTGCCAGAGCCAAGGGCCTCCTGTCAAAAACACACAGAAGTCTCCCTGACATTCAGAGATACAAATGTGGTGCAAATCCAAAGTCACTCCACGAGGAAAGATGGCATTCCACCTTCACAGGTTCCTGCCACTAACGTGTACATCCCATCCATCACCTGGCCAGGCCACCTGACATCCAAATGTGAACACCTTAAACCAAAGGCATTCCAAATGGTCCTCAGCACCTGCACAGCAACCTGGGAGCAGGAGGGCAAGGGAAGCCTGTACACCACTTCCTGAGGACTGCTCAGCGTCCCTCTGTCCCCAGCACAGCAGGCTCAGGGCTGGAAGAGTGAGCAGGCAACAGCAATTTGCGTGTGGGCATCGATCTGCAAACAGCGCGGCCGCGGAAAGCGCGGCGGGAAGGAGGGGGCACAGAGCCGGGGGGCACCGGCAGCACCTCGCCGGCCGGGGGCAGGAGGGCAGCACGGAGCCTGACTGCGCAGGCTTCAGCCGGCAGCGTGGTTCGAAAGCATTACTGGCATTAATAAGCAGGAGAAACGGGAAGGAGCCCAGGTGGGAGCCTGGCAGAGGCAGCACCAGCCTGCATCCCCAGGAACAGCAGCAGGTCCTTCCTGCCCCCTGCTACACGGTCACTAATGGAGGCAACGACACAAGGGACCAGGACAGATGGTGGAAACTCCTCCAGGTTAACTTTTCAGGATCCCCATAAATGATCAGTTAAAATAAATGATAATATTTATAATACCTCATAAATGATGGTTAAAAACAACAGTCAGGTGTCCCCAACTACTTTTTGGGAGGTATTTTAAGACAGACATCACATTTTTCACTTAAGAGCTGATTCATTTTACACTCTCCCAAACTGAAGATGGATTACATCTACAAAACATATCTAATCAAAAATACTAGAAAGTGGAATTTGAAATTACTAGAAATTGGAATTGGTCTGGAATTGAATCCCAGACCAGGGATTCAATATAAAAAACGGTTCTAATTTCAGCAACAAATCTCAACCTGATAAATTAAACTCTGACTTTGACTACAATTTTTCCACTACTCTCATCAATACACCACATCTATTAATATCAAAATTGCCACAGGAATGGCACCTGTCTAATATATTCAATCCACCCATGAAGAGCAAATGCATCAAATGAAATGTGTGTGAGCTTTTAGAATTTGCTTTCATTTTCGAACACTGTTTTGAACATAAAACTTTACAGAATAATACAAGAGCTGAAACTAAGTTTCAAAAATCAACAAGAAGAGCAAGAGCCACCTTCAAGTAATGCTGGCTGACAGAAAATATGCATCCACCTCTGACATCAACCAAGTTATTCTGCACCTGGAATTTCTTACCGACACATCATAAATACTTAAAGCATGCAAATGCTTTCATAGGGGTTGACAAGTATTGATTATCTTACTGCCAGGGCAAAGGAGGCTTAGGGTTTTTGCAGACTCACTCCCACAGATGGCAGGATGCAGGCACAGGACAAGAGCCCCAGCAGGCCAGGAATGGCAGCAGGGAGAG